GGCTCTTGGCGCTCTGTAATAATAAGTAACAATAATACTGCTATCCCTTTCGAACAACAAGTCTCAGACCCTTAATCCAGAAACAAAACTAGCTTTCAGATGATTCTGGGATATTTAATGAGTCCAGTGATTTTGCACCACTTTCGATCTGTTTCCAGCCAAGCCAAGATGAGAAAGAAGATGATGGAAGGAGAAAGACAAGCTCAAGACCAGAGAGCGAGAAAAATACCACAATCGCACATGACCATTTCCAGTGTGCTCAGGTGGGGTTTTTGTGACTCTTTTCTGCTGCTTTCTTTGAACCAAATAATGCTTCTGTCTGCCTAAGGTAGGTAAGGTACCGTCCACTGGTAAAGGTAATACCCAGATCAATACGGGGCGGAACCGGTCCAAAGCAGCAGCTAATGATCAGACTAGAGCCATTTATGGTGTTGGACTCATCATGTTCGCCCACTTGGTGCATCCTTCTGAGCATCTCCTCCAGAAAAAAGTAGAGACTCCTTCGCTCAGTCACGCAATTGAGATTTTTGCTTGGCTTTCTGGCTTCAACTCTAGACTACACTCTTCAGATTTGCATCTTCACCTCATCCCCGCTGTATCCTAGATATCCCCTGAGACAAATATACGGAAATCCAGCCATCCAGCCTCTCCCTACTGTTGACAGGTTCGGAGTACTTATTATTGCTGTGAGGCAGTGGACCCAACCCCGAGTCCCCTCTAGGCGACCCTTTACTTCTCCGCGATACTGGGTTCATTCCCAGGGCACAAATACAGATCTTCACTCGGTCGCTATCACCGCGACTTGCACCATATTGTACGCAGTCACAAGTCCGACCCTCTTTCACGATTACTGCACATTCGCTTGACCAAGCCTCGATGCCGTCGGATCTCTAAGCCCCCTCCATCTTCAATCACCCCTCGCTCCAGATCAATTTGACAGTCTGCTGAACTGAGGGCAATACAGGAATCCTGTCTCCTGTCTTTGCCGCCACATAATCTGTCTCTCGGGGAAAATGGCAAGCTCGGTAGCAGGCGAATACCCTCAACCGATATCGTCCCCTCCCCCGGTCTATCTTCGATCATCTCCCCCGCTTTCGCCGTCTCAGAGTCAATCGACCCCCAGGTCGATACCCCAACAGCGCGCCACACAACACATTGCACGGAAGGCGTTGCCCGGTTCTCGATCTGAAAATGAATATCCTCCAGTTCCGCCGGTCTATATTCACGATGACATGAATCTGCCGCAACCGTCCAACAGGGTACTCGAAAGTGCTCGCGACGGTCATGTCGGGAATTCTGTCCCCACCACTGCTTTAGCCAATATGTCGCTTGAGGATCAATGGCAGAATCCCCAGAACAGCAATGGAGCATTTCCACCACGCCGAGACTCTTACGCCCCTCCACCAGTCCCAGGATCGAGGAGAGCCGGGCATACGCCGGCTAGCAGCGGTTCCTGGTCTGTGATAGACAACCAGCTCAAAGATGAGACGAATGGTTCTATCCAGCCTTCTTCAGACCCTGCAGCTCCCAGTGGTAGCCAGAACAACTCCTCCCGGGGCAGCTTGGACAGTGAGGCTCGCCCCGAAAACTTCGAGCCCTTGCACTATCATCACCAACCGTATCGTAACTCCAATGTCGCACTCAAGTCACCATCTGATGCCGCTTCAGCCGAGAATCTGTCCGGCTCCAACGGTCATCTCTCAGCTAGACGGCATGGTATACCACGGCCAAACTCAACATACTCGTTCGTCTCGGAAATGGGTGGCGATAGTCGGAACTTGTCGCCCGGTGCTTCTCCCTACCTCCACGCACGCGCTTCACCGAGGAATTCCTCGTCCCCCGATGTCCGTCCACTTTCTTTTGTCGATCTCCTCAACACCTCCTATCCTCAGCCAGGTCCGACCCCCGGGCAACTGGACAACTCCCATCTAAAATCCTGGGTGGGCAACAATGCCTCTTTGCTCAGTCACAAACAGACCTTTGATATGTATCTCGCAAATGTGAAGAAAACGGACGACCCCGCGGTACAATATGAGTTCGCTGTGTTTATGGTCAACGCGATGCTGGAAATGCCGCCAGACGATCATGAAGCACGCAAGGACGCAGTGTATGGCCGAAAAGGGACGGGAATCTCTCGGGAAAGTCTCCTCAAGGAAGCCAAGTCGATCTTTCAACGTCTGGCCGACCGTAGCTATCCGTTCGCGCAGTACTACCTGGCGGATGGATATGCATCCGGACTCTTCAGCAAGGGCAAGGAAGACTATGACCGAGCATTCCCCCTGTTCGTGGCCGCGAGTAAGCATGGTCACGTCGAGGCCTGCTACCGTGCCGCCCTCTGTTTTGAATTCGGCTGGGGAACCAGGGTAGAAGCGGCCAGAGCACAACAGTTCTACCGCCAAGCTGCCTCCAAGAATCATCCTGGGGCCATGCTGCGCATGGCCAAGGCCTGTCTGGCGGGCGACATGGGTCTAGGCAAACGGTATCGGGAAGGAATCAAATGGTTAAAGCGAGCGGCGGAATCCTCCGACGCCCAGTACAACTCTGCGCCTTACGAACTCGGCCTCCTCCACGAAACGGGATTCGGCGATGATGTGTTTCCTGATCCAGCCTATGCAGCTCAGCTGTTTACCAAGTCAGCGGATCTAGGCCATGCCGAGGCGAGCTATCGCCTCGGAGATGCGTATGAACATGGCAAGTTGGGCTGTCCTCGAGACCCTGCATTGAGCATCCACTTCTATACCAGTGCCGCACAAAGCGGGCATGACTTGGCGATGATGGCCTTGTGTGCTTGGTACCTGGTAGGCGCGGAGCCTGTTCTGGAGAAGGACGAAGGCGAGGCCTATGAGTGGGCCAAGCGAGCTGCAGAACTCGGTATGTGCGCACACGAACTCGACCGGTTAATTTGCTAACTTTCTGCGTAGGACTGGCGAAAGCGCAGTATGCTGTCGGATACTTCACAGAGATGGGCATTGGCTGCCGTCGTGATCCATTAGAGGCCAACGTCTGGTATGTGAGAGCGGCGGATCAGGGCGACGAACGCGCAAAGCATCGCATTGCCACGATTCAAGCTGCCGCCGAGGGCAGGAGCCCTACGCGGAATGGAAAAGAAGGGCAGAAAGAGAATAAGAATTCTCTAGGTGCGTTCAACTACCATTCGTGCTGCCTCGAGCTAATCCGTGGAACAGATGCCGGAAAGTCTGGCAAATCTAAACGGTTCACTATTTTCTAAGAAAGCTTGACGATCAGTATTCACGACAAGCCTTATCCATCGGTCGATTCTCAAATGTCTATATGCTCCATATCACTACGGGATTAATACATAATGCGGATTCTACATACACATTTCGTCGACCCTGATTGCCGCCTGAGGTTCTGGCAAGGGTTACAGCGTTTAGCGCGCCTCGATACAGCTATGTTGTGGGGATTTCCCTTTTTCTGCTCTGGCAGCCAAACACTTGTTTGAACCACCCACTTATGGGACTCGAACAAACTTTGCATCCTATCAGTCATTGGTCATTCATGTACAACGAGCCATCCTTGAGATTTCAGTAGAGGATGAGCCCTACCATCATTCTATATCTCTTGCAAGCATCTTGTCGCCATCAATCTCTTTACTTTCTCTCATTCATCACTGATGCGGGATTTTTCGGCGTATGGCAATGCTGTACAGTTCATTAGCGGGGTTTATTTGGCGTTTTAACATTGCGCATGATTCTTCTTGATTACTTTGTTGAACCATCCAACAAGTCATAGACCTGGAGGTCTTGAGATGTTTGTTAGGCCGGTATCAGAGATATGCAATGCTAATTTGGGAATTATCAGTACACCATTCTCTTGGAGCTATCCGTAGTGTAGGTGACGAGCTGGAGTATTGTGTACATTCAATAGTCCTGGTCAGTACAAATACCTATTGTGATGTCATGGTGAACAGCCGTGGCGTGTCTCTTAATTAAAGATGCATTATCGTACTCCTTGGTGTCGCATGTTCATACAGCCATCATTGTATCTGGTTCTTCTGCACCATCCACTCAGCTAAACCAATGTACATTGAAATCTGCATCCGCAATGCAGAATGCCAATCTACCTGACACGCAAGTCAGATCCTCCCTGGTACATCAAGCCGCCGCCCCTGCGTCATTGTGCCCGCATCAAAGCAATGCACGCTGTGGGTAAGGACCAAGAGCGGATCCAGGGTATATCACCAGCCGTGGAATAATATAATCCAACCTCCAGGCTTGCATGATTTCCCCTGGACATAGATTACTCCTGCCACTCGTTCTTGGTATGGAGAATTGCAGGATCCATCTCATGTCATTGGCAGCTCAACGTAGTACACAATACCCACAGCCAGCGCCCCAGTGTCCAATAACAAGGTGTTCGGACACCGTCCTGCAGATCAGTGATCACTGATCAACAGCGCGACAGCTGATCCCGCTGATTGTGTTTCAGGTTGCTGCGTCGCTTCCAAAAATACAGAGGACAGGGTGAGAGTCAGAGACAGAGACAAAGACAGCCCAGGCTTGCTCCTCTATGGAGTAAGGAAGGTACTGTAGGCAGGCTCATTGTCGCACCAACCCGACCTCCTGATTTTCATTCATTGTGACAGAAAGGTACATAACCTGCTGCTCTGCTCAGCCTCCCACGTTCCTGCATCCTGACTTCTACTTCCGGACAGTCAACTGCTGTAGAGACTTCTGTAGACTCGTGCGTCGATCGGATTCATTCAGTTCAGGTACGTACGTTGACCCTGTCATCTGCCGCTTCACGCCCTGCCAGCAGCCAGCCAGCCAGGTAGCACTTCGTCTTACAAGGGGCGCAAAAAGATACTCTAATCACAACCACCGTTGGTAAAAGCTATCAAGGGATACCAATCTGACAAGTCACGCAACACAGATTCCACAACCACCACCACTACCACGATCATCCACACTTTACCGAGAACCTACGTACCTATCATCGACCTTTCTTCGGTATACTCCAAAGCTGCTCAGAAATCCAAAATGCGTCTCCTCTCGCTCGCCCTCCTCCTCTCCGCTGCCATGGCGCTGCCTTCCGCCGAGAAGTCCTGCTCCGGCGTAAGTACTAAGTCCTCACATACCTCCCCCTCTTCCTGCTGACCCTCATCCTCATCCTCTTGCTCTGCCACGGAGCTTGGATTACTCGCCGACCACCGCGCACGCAAGCTAACAAACTCCCAAATAAAGGTCGGCTTCCCCTGCGGTAACGCGACCGTAAACGCCTACGACTGCTGTGTCCCTCTCGTCTGTGCCCCGGGCGCGGTAAGTCCAACCCCCTCTCTCTCTGCCTCGTGGATCATCAGCATCGCCAGGATGAAAGCTGATGGAACCGGAACCGAACTAGCAACCTGTCTGCCAACAGCCTCGTTCTTTTTCATCTCGCAGAAACGGAATGTGAGCGTGGAGGATAAGCGCCGAGGGAGAGGTTCTATTCGTCAGTGCCAGTTCGCTATTAGAGGATGGATACGCATGGATGGGCAGTGGTTTGAGTCGATCGATAATGACCGGGCGGCGGATTCGGGTTAGGATTCTACTTCTTGTACTTGTAGATTAATCTTGTCGATAATGCAGTGTCATCCCGCTGTTGCTTTTGTTTACGAGGGCGGAGACGGGCGGACGATAAGATAGAGAGGAATGGAACGCTAAATTGGCTGAGCACTAGTGATAGGGTCGTATTCTACCGCTGCGAGATCGCTTGAATCACCAGATACTGGAACAGTCATGCGATGGATATGATTGATCGCGGCTACAGTTACAAGTGGAACAGGCAGTTACGATCAGTATGAAATTGCATATACAAGAGAGGACACAAGGAAAACAGTCGATTCGGCCCAGGAGGTAGACATGAATAAAAAGTTATATCTACTGTGGGAACTTGGAGGTACAATGAGAATGGTATAAGGTGGAAACTGTCGTTGAACACACAAAAAAATGAAAGGATATATCCTGGGCCGACAGAAAACTGAGAATAACTCCAAACCTCCCTTAGATTCTCTCAAAACGCAAGCTCAACCCGCGCTTAGTTGAAGTTGTCAATGCAACCCCAGTAGCGCTCGACATCGAACTCGCCAGGCTCCTTCCACAGGTCATCAAAGTAGGAGAAGAAGACAGACTTGGAGCCGACTTCCTGGGCAATGGACTTGATGGCGATAGCCTGCTCGGAGGGACCGGGAACAGCCTTGCCGTTGGCGTTACCAGAGTGAGGCCAACCAGTCTCCAGGTTGAGAACATCCTTGCCAGGGCAGATGCCCTCAAGGACCTTGATTTCCTGAGCAACGAACTTGCCGGCCTGGTCGGCAGAGACATCGGCGTTGAAGAAGGGGTGGATGTTGGCACCAACGATGTCGACAACACCGCACAGAGTGGAGCCATAGGCCTGCCAGATGTTGATGGGCTCGGTGGTAGTGACCTTGCCAGTGTAGCCGGCCTGCTGGAAGGAGGACTTGGCATAGGAGATGAAGCCAGCAAGGGTGGAAGCATCGCAGTAGCCGTTTTGGATAGCCTCGTTACCGATAACAATCAGGCTGACGAGATCCCACTGGGCCCACTTGGAGATAGCGGTAACCTGGTCCTGTGCACCGGAGACACCAGTGCTGCTGATGAAGACGCCAAGGATCATCTGGAGACCACAAGTCCGGGCGGCCTCACCAATGTACTCCAAGCTGTTGCAGTCGACCGAGTAGACACGCACGTGGGAGAAACCCTTGGACTTGAGGTTGGCGACCTCGGAGAGGACGGAGGCCTTGTCCTTGCAATCACCACCCTTGGTGTAAGGAGTGTAGGTCATACCCATCTGGCCGCTGACAGCACCGGTGGAAGCAGGAGCGCTGCTGGAGCTGGAGGGGGCAGCAACGCTGTTGGAGGGCACGTCGGTGGTGGTGGCAGGAACGTCGGTGGTGCTAGGGGCAGCAGGAGCAGAGGTGGGCTCGTTCTGGCCGGTGAAGGAGCAGACATAGGTGTAGTCCGTACGGGTGACGGTCACAGTCTGCTTAGGCTGAGTGTAGGTACCAGGAGTGATGACGGCGGGAGTGGGGTAGACAACAACGGTGCTGGTAGGGACGTAGGTGGTGGTGGGAGCAATGGTGTATGTGCCAGGGGTGGGGCAGACGTAGGTGGTGGTTTTAATCACGCTGGTCACGGTGGTGCCCGAGGGCTCAACGGTGGCGTAGGGGCAGACAACGGTGGTCGAGGTCTTAACAACAGTGGTGACACCACCGTAGGTCTGAATACCGCTGGGCAGCTCGGTGGTGGTAGCTCCGCACACGGTGGTTGTGTCGGTCACGGTCAAAGTAGTGGCGGGAATGGTGTAGACACCAGGCGCGGGGAAGGTGGTGACGCCGGGAGTGGGCAGAGGGACCTTAGGGGTAGCAGGGGTCGAGCAGGTGGCGCCGGCACTGGCCGTGGGACCGGAGGCACTGGCAACAACAGTCACGGTGCGGGTGCTGGTAGAGTGCAAAGTGGTGACAGCTTCGGAAGTGACGGTGCTGGGAGTGGGAGTCGCAACGGGGATCACTATTGACGTTAGCAGTGGCTCCTTGTAAGAGCTGTATCCTTTTGATATGATCAACCAAGCATTGAGTCATATCAAACACCAGCTCCGATCAGATTTTGGTCGCGACTTCAGGATACTTACGGGTAGGAGAGCCCCAGACAGTGACGACCTCGGTGGTGCAGCCGCAGGTAGCATCAGCTTCAGGGGCAGGCTGAGCCAGAGCACGACGCTGGTGCAAAGAATCGTGGCCGTGACGACGCATGTGCGCAACATCGGCCATGGCGGTGCCCGCGATGGCGGCCGCGGTGGCCAGAACAGCAAGCCTCATGGTGAATAAGAATGTAAGATATTGCAAATTTCAAGGAATGCCCGCTGAACGAGTGAAGCGGTAGTGAATAAAGCGCTTATAAAGGAGGGGCGCGATGGCCTCTTTTGTTTTCTTGAGATGAAGAGACTTTAGGAAGTTCGGGATAGAAAGGAGAGAAGAAGAGACGGGAGAAGGGAAAAGAGAAGGAGAAAAAGAGGCGAGTAGGGGCGGCCATCGGGTGGTAGAAAAGCCAAAAGCCCACCCGATGTGATCGTGGCCGGGGGGACCCCCTGGAGTCTGACAGAGAGTGAGAGAGAGAGAGAGAGATACTACGTTAGTTCTGGGCCCGGGACTAGCACCCAAAAGGGGGAAGTCGAAGGAAATTAGCACCGCAGCAGCAGCGGTGTAAGGCACTACTCTGATCTGTTAGCCTACATTGGGCATAGTCAGGCACCGCATCATGCTGATTGGTAGCTATAGGGGGGGCGTTGCAGGGTGTCCCAGAGGAAGTTGACCAGTGGTAGTCCGCACGGCTCGGACAGTTTGTCAGGGTGGGGGGAATTGACAACAACAAGAAATTAGAGTCGAAACTGGCTAATCATCGCTTGGCCCATTGTCAAGTTCGGGCTTAGAGCAGGTTGATCCTTACGATACAGCCAGAGGTCATAGGTCAAAAAATGGACTTTCGCCGTGTCATTATTCAGATTTTTCACTTGAATAAGATGCAACCTATTCTTGCGTCTCCATCTGCTCCGTACTATGCTTATGCTCTATGCAGTTGGAGATCCTTTCATCTAGAACATTTCTCCATCGTTCGATGGAGGTCTTTGGACTTTGAAGCAATACAGATGGCAGTGGCTGGTCCGGTCAGGAGACTCGTGCTTGGTGGTACTAAAGTTATTGCTATTGTTTCAGCCCCCGTCCACTGCGTCTAGTCACCGTAGTCCGTATTGTCAATTTTTTGGTACTTTGTATCATCCTGACTTGGTAATCTGACTCTTATTGCATTTCATTTTTGGACTCTCCAGCTCATCTTACATAACATGGCCAACTGTCTGGTGACTTCATTTTATCCCATCTGACTTTGACCTTTAACAGGAGAAAGGAACAGACAGACAGTTGTCCATCTTCAGGCAACCTGGTTCCAGCGGCACAACACAGCAAGGCACTCATCTCCGCTAATGCACCCATGTGGAGACTTGACTCGTTACCATGCAGCACTAGGCCCAGACAGGTATAGTAGATCATCTGTGACTCTGCATTCTTGAGTTTAATTGGTGATTGGTGTGAGCTTTAATTTCCGGCTGTTCCACCCACAATTTAAGTCGGGATGCTCATTTTTGTGTGGATTTATTTTTGTTCTGATGAATAGATAGTTCCCTCAGCCACTGATTTTACCAACCTCCGTTGTTATTATTAACTGCACCCATGAATAGTTGAAACTCTGCACTGTACCCGTCCTTACTCTGCATCTAGCCAGTAGGCTATCCTGGAGATCAGAATTCTGAATTAGGATAGATGCCTTGCGAATTGAATTTGCGGCTAATTGAGCAATGAGGCTTCTATCTTTGGCTACCATTATCATCTTGTCTATAGTTTACAATAGCTCCTCAGGCTAATTGCGTCTTGACAGCGATGACCAAGTTGCGCGATGTAGAGCTTTGAACTCAATGGGTTCGAGAGCGTTACATGAGCCTCGGCCAGCCTCGGACATGCGTTGTCTATTTGGCCAGAGGACGAACTCCTGCATTTATCAACTGAATGGCTTCAAAAGTCGAGGCTTCAGAACGGTCGCCATTTAGGCATCCAGTCAATCTATTGAGCTGTCTTACTATGAGTCCACTGATCGACATTTGGAGGATACTATCCTTATAGTTGCTGGTACTTTCTGCTTTTAAAGAGACATTCTTGATCTGACGAAGTCCAGACTTGGGTTGGTCCCCGGTAAATGTACTTGATAGTCTCCATACACAGGGAGTAGTGTCTGTAGCAAAATGCAGCGATGTGTTGGATCCAAAGCTGGCTCGGGCTGAAGCCCATAACTAAAATGAGGATTGCCATCTCACGAGTCAAATCCCCTTATTTGTTGGACACGCCACTTGTGGAATATAGATAACTATTGAATGTTATCCAGGTTGTGACGCGCACGATCAGCTAGCTTTTGAATTGAAGCGATAATATCTCATATCACGATCGTGGCCCAGTTTAGTCCTCGTTCAGTACACCCCCTGACTCGCAGTTCAGCATCCCAGCTAGACCGACTCGGCAGCGGCACCTACTGAATACAGTGGCTACAACTTTTTTTACCTCTTAACCTATCATAATCCCTAAGTTGACAGAACAGTTCTTGAGACTGCGGGGTGACATCCCAGAAATCCAACGCCCAGCAATTCTTTTCAGTTACCCCTGAAGGCTCGATCAACCAGCCTGCTCAACTGCTCACTGCTCACTGCTCACTGCTCACTGCTCAGGGGCTGATAGCGCTTGTCACTATCGTTTGACCGAGGATTTTGAACAGTGGCGTCTCTCAGAGAACTAGCAGCCTAGCACGTTGCTATTCGGAACTGTTACTCAAAATTATCTGCCAAGTACGAATCACTCTCTTTGCATATGAGACAAAAGCCACAATACCGTCCACTAGCGGGCTTAGGGCCGTTGTCTAAGACAAGGTTTCAATAGAGCCTTACGAGTCAAAAGGCCAGTCCCAAATAGGCATTACACTACTGAACTCAGGGGTGGCTGTCAAACTGTCAATATTCTGTTGATGGCTCCTGAGCTTCAGCTATTGTGAATAGAGGAAACTTGCAGGGGGAATCGGCCATCGACCAACCGCGGACAACATATTGATATGCTACTCCTTTATAACAGAAACGAATATACGCCATATATCTCATGAACTTTCCGCAGCAGAATGATGCCGAAGATGATGATAGTAATGTATGCTCTTAAATATCGATGGGTTGTGTGTAAGGCAAGAGAGGCAACTTACAATCAGGGGTTGCCTCACAACACAATGGCCTGCTCTAAATTGCTTTGGGTTATGAAACAAAAAGGGGAACCATCCAGTAGTTGGTCATCACGTATCATTAACACCGACAAGGTCGCTGGATCGAGCCCAGCACTGGTCATTATTTCTTTTTGGTTTTTGCTTCTTCCTTTTCATCTTAAGAATTTATGGCTCCCGCAGTGCAAGAATCGATGAATATGACATCATCCATTGGACTGTTTTCTCATCAGTATGTCTCTTGGTATGATCAATTTACAAGGGGCCGTGACTGCCAAGGTCGGATTTGGAAGAAACACCTCATTCGTGGAGTAGAGGGCGAAATCCAGTCTTGACAGGCATTCGCCGTCCATGAGTAGCACCTGAATGACTCCATAAGGTAGGTTGAAATCATCAAATTCAGCCACTACTTTGTGCGCGTCCAATCAACTAGTACATTTTCACGCACTCTGATAAAATGATTCTAATACTGCGGCTCATAGATTGATATGTCACGACTTATCTGCATGTGTAAATGTCAGTAGGCCCCTCTCATACACAGGCAATACTTGGATAGAAGAGCTCCACGGAAATCTGCAGAGCAACGAGCATGGTGGTTATATCAGAACGACCATATTCGATACTCGAATGCTCCGCGGCCTAGTAGGCACTACGGTGACCACATATGACCTTGTCTCAGACGGCGCATCACCTGAAACTACCTTCCGGACGTGGGTCATCACGGAGAAACTCGTGGAGAGGGCAGCTCCTCTGACAGAGCACGATGTCAGAATGGGCCGCGGGTCTCCTAAAACCGTTGGCAAGTTTCTGTGCCATCTTGCAGACGATCCGAAGCAGATAGCGTTCATGCGAATCTACCAACAGATTCCTATCACTGGAACGGAGGACGCTGATAACGACACACTGGCTAGGCAGGCCGTCCCCCCTGGCGTGTGTGGTGAGCTGGAGGCCTTTAAACTATTGCAGAGAGGAGGCTGTAGCGCTGTTCCTCGGTTCCTTGGCCACGCGGAAGGAATACAAGGAGAGCACGACCTCCTTCCTGGCGGCTACGTTAGATACCTTGTGTGGGAAAAGGTCCCTGGTGAGCCTCTGACGGAGGAATTCTTCTGGGGCTTGGATGACACCGCACGCAATGACATCCGTTGCAAGTTCCGTGCCGCCTATAAGTAAGTCTATGCAAATCTTAGGTATGCAGACAGACAGACAGGATACTAATATAATGAAAAGACAGTTAATTAGGTGCGGGATAGCACCAGGTCAGTCCAGACTCTCGAAGATCATCTTTGATCAGTCCACAGGCAATCTGTACGTCAGTAATGGCATTCTATGTGAATGTGCTGGAAATATATACTAACGGATTACAGTCGCATTTCGGGTTTCCGAAGGGGATGGCCAGTTATCGAACTACCTGAATGGTCAGAGGCTCGTTACGTCGAGTATGGACTAGCGAAGCCGAGCAAAGAGACAGACTGGTACCTTCACCCGGAAAAATGGGAGTGGTGAACTATCTGGCTATCACACAATGGGAAGAGATGCTGCGCGATAAGTCTCAAGCTGAACCTCCGAGAAGCCAGAATCTCCAACCGGGAGGATCAAGGAGCTACGTCCATCTGGAGAACTCAGTCACTGTTCCGGTCAACGAGTTCAAGGGGCCGTCCGTACCTTTTGAAGTTGTTCCCCTTAGAAGCCACTTTCCGCCGGGTCGAGCTCTTATCGTCATCGTTGGGGTCTGGGTCTGGTTCGCGCAGGAAGGCGTTCTAGTCGACGACCCCCGCCGCGTTCTTGGGATTATTCTCCTTTGATGAATGGAGGATGGATGGCGGTAGTGGCTGAAAAGGATGTGAAGTGTTTAACCTGAAGTTGAAGTTTACGGGCGTCTACTGGAGTGCAGCTACTGCAGCTGCTAGGCCTAGGGCTATTGTCGAGCAAGGCCCGAAGAGGGAAAGCGTCGGGACCCAACCGCCAGCGATGGAAACATCACGGTTTCTTGCAAGAGAGGCCTAAGGCCGCGACTGGCAAGGCTCACTCCAATGTCTCATTCAAACAGAGCTGGACTCTTCTTGCAGTGTTTTCATTTCTGACTTGATGTTAACTAGAAGGAAAATCCCGTAAATCTCTGACAGTTTCTGGAACTTATCTATGCTGCTCAGTCCACATCACACCAACGGCATCATCTCTCCCGTCGCATGACAGCAGAATGTACCTCGCAAACAAACCAGAATCTCACCTAATGAGATTATCAAAAAATATGGAGAATCCCAGAAAATTATACAAGCGGAATCCTGAATTTCCACAGGCCAGCTCTTCACAGGGCAGAGTACATAGGGAGACCTGGAAGTTGGAACATGGCTGTTCTAAGATCATGCCACCTGCCTATACGGCGACCACACCACCTCAACTCACCGCACCACGATCCTTGACCACGCCATCCTATCATGCTCTCATCATTTGAATTCCGAATAATTTCTGTACTTTTGGTTGGATGGCGCTTTTCAGCCTCCGTTTTCACCCTACAGAAGCATCGCGAACCGGTGGGTAGCTGTCGACATCTCGATTCCGGCGTCAGGTAAAGTGATTCGGAAGTACAATTGCCTTTGGTATGGTTCAATCGCTTTCCTTTGGGAGCTGAAAAGTCTCCAAGATATAAAGAGGGTGGTGGGTGATATCCATATTCATCATCACTCGAACAATCCAGCATCAATCTGATACCTCGCGAGGACGCATTGATCGCAGCAGCAAGCAGCGCATACAACATATCAACCAAGTCAGAAGCAGTCCGTGACAAAATGACGGAATCCTCCTCCCCTCGTCTCCAAAATGACTATGGAGCTGATCTCTGGGTTCGCTCTGGCGCGGAACGTCGCGTATGTACTTCACTGTCACTCAGGTATGCTCCTTATCGGCATGGCATGCAAGCTAACAGATGCAGCACCCAACGGCCGGACGAGGACTCTTTGCCGGCCTTCAGGACGTGAAGCACTATAATGTCGACCATGGCTGGGCCAAGCGCGGCCAGGATCAATCGCGGGGGCTGTTTAGTTTCCTGTGGAGTCGGTATGTTCCTTTGTTCTCTGTCCTTCGGTATATATCCAATGAGCTAACTGGTATAGATTTACGGGAGGAGCCTATCGTCCCCCGACGGATTCATAGCATGGGATGTGTGTCTTTGGTTATAGTTATGGTCATGTTATGATATCTTGTTTAGCGTTCGTACAGCATCAGCATCAGCATCAGCATTAATCTCATTCATTACCTCATTACAATCTTCCTTGCCAAATTTACACTGAACAAGCATAAACATTCAGTGAACGTCAAGACTTGATGCCCATCCCCCCATCCGACTGAACCACACCCCCCGTCACAAACCCATCCTTCATAACCCCCAAATACCCCTCCGCCACATCCTCCGGCCTCCCCAGCCCCCCCGTCAACGCCCTCCCCTTAAGCGCCTCAATAAACTCCCCAGGCAACCCATCGAACAGCTCCGTCCGCACCGCCCCCGGCGCAACAACATTCACCCGCACCGGCGCAAGATCAACCGCCAGGCCGCGCCCAAGCCCGATAAGCGCATTCGCAAGCATAGCACCCACACTGTACCCCGGCAACGGGCGCATCGCCACCGCCCCGCTCGTCAGCGTCAGCGACGACCGCGCCGATTGCGCCATGAACGCCGGGACGTGCTTCGCGAGCATTATGCTGCCCAGCAGCCGGACGGTGGTGAGGGCGCGGATGTACGTGGGATCAAGCGCTGGGTCTGTGGGCGGGAGGATTTTGAGGGCGTCGCCGGCTGTGAAGACGATGTGGTCTAGGAGGACCCGGCCGTCGATAGCGTTGGGCGAGGGGGTAGATGGGAAGAGAGCAGGCTGCGTTGCTTTGTCGAGCAGAGCGAGGATGTTCGCTTCGAGGGTGGACTCGTTCCCGAGGTCGACGGTGGTGCCGGCTATTCTGGCGGTGAATTGCTCGTCTGGGTAGAAGGTGCGCAGGCGGGAGAGAGCGGACTGGACTTTTTCGGGGCGGGAGCTGGCGACGAGGACGCTGGCGCCGTGTTCGAGGGCGGCGCGGGCGACGGCGAAGCCGAGGCCGGAGGTGCCGCCGATGATGAGCACGCGGGTGCCGGAGAGCTTGTTGGTGGAGATGAGGTTTGGCGTTGAGGTTGTCATTGTGGGGGATATCTTTGTAGAACTGGTACCTGTTGATGGAGGAGGAAGTAGGGCGATGTTGGCGGATGGAGAGGACCTGCTCTCAAGATCCAACGCGAATGCTGCTGCTGCTGCTGCTGCTGATGATGATGATGGCTTTTATGTACTCTGCAACATAAACAAAGGTACCTCACTGATTACCAAGCATGTTGAAACAGCAGGGATTCTCGTCTTACTCCGTAGCTCTGCATCTTATGTCCGTCAGCCCTGCCTATCTCCGAATGACCGCACAGAAAGTCGGATTTACGAAGAGAGGCTGGAGACGAGAACGTAATGTAGAACAAATTGATTGTTGGTCACTACAAGAACAGTTAACCGCTAGACTTAAAATGATACAAGACTCCGTAACCCAAGATGACCCAGTCTCGCCAATGACATTCAGCGACGCCATTTCTAATGATAATGGTATATATTTGTCGTAGATTAGTCTCGTTCGCAATGCATCTAGTCCCAGCCAGTGATCTTCATGGTTCCCTTCTCTTGCAGGTTCTGGTGCATCTTGAAGGCCTGGAAGAGCAGATGGGGCTCGTGGCCCATGCCCTTCTTCAGGCACTCGTATTCAGCCCGGTCCAAGTAGTCCGTAAGAATGGGCTGGTAGTCGGGGTGGGCGCACTGCTTGATGATGACACGAGCACGTTCGCGGGGAGACAGACCACGCACGTCGGCGAGACCCTGGACAATGTCAATGGGATCCAATTAATGATTAAAAGATAGAGCTTACCTGTTCAGTGACAACAACATCAAGATCATGCTCCGTCTGATCAATGTGAGTGCAGAAAGGCACGATGCAGCTGACACCGGTAGGATCGATCTTGCTGGGACGGGTACTGGGAGTGTGCATGATACTGTACTTGGAGTTGCGCAGGAAGTCGGCAGATCCTCCCAGACCATTGAGCATCCGAGAGCCCATGACACAGGTGCTGTTGGCATGAGCGTAGATATCCACCTCGACGGGAGTGTTCATGCCGATACATCCAATACGGCGGATGATCTCGGGCGAGTTGGAAACCTGCTGAGAACGCAGCAAGAGCTTGCCCGCATAGCGTTCCCAGTTATCGTAGAACCGCTTGAATCCATCGGGGGAGAACCGGATGGAGGTGGCAGTGGCAAAGTCCAAGTTCCCACTGTCGAAGAGATCCAGGAAGGAATCCTGCAACACCTCAGTCCAGACCTTGAGGTTGGTGAAGTCCGCACCGCCCTTGCTCAGGCCGCCAATGACCGCGTTGGCGATGTTTCCAATACCGGACTGGATGGGGAGCAGGTTCTGGGGCAGACGGCCATGCCTGACCTCGTGCTTCAGGAACTCGATCAGGTTGCTGGCAATGGCCTGCGAGGTTGCGTCCTCGGGCGCGTTGGGCAGCGTCTGATCCGGGTAGTCGGATTCGACAATGGCGACAACCTTCTCCGGGTCGACGGGGATGTGGGGGGTTCCAATGCGGTCCTCGGGCTGCATGATCAGGTACGGCTTCCGGCGAGGAGGAACGTCCGACATGGTGATATCGTGCAGACCCTCGAACGATGGACTGGCCGTGTTGACCTCGATGACGACCTTGTCGGCCATCTGGATCAGTTCCGGGGACGCACCGACGGAAGCACCGGGAATGATGCCTCCATCCTCAGTGATGGCCGACGCCTCAATCACAGCAACGTCGAGCCTGTTCTTGGGCTTGTTCAACGTGTACCAGCCCTGTCACGATTAGCATCGCTCTGTTTTACGGTCTTGGGGCTTCTCACATAGACAAGGTCCGAAGGAAACATGCTCAGATGCTTATCGAAGAACTTGATCTCACCGTTATTGATCCCCTTGGCGATCTCCTTGCCAACCTGATGAGGGCTCCGCCGCTCAATCATGTTCAGTCGCGCCCATCGGTTCTCTGTCTCGGCACCTGAGGAGGCACCAACGAACAAGGTGTACTGTAGCTTTCCCTGCAGGTTGTTCTTCTCGACATGATCAGCGAGCGCGGTGGGCACTTTCCTGAGCAGAGCAATCAGGTGTCAGCTGCGATACTCGCTGTCGATCTCAAAGGTCAACTTACTTGGGGTAGCCAACACCCGTGAATCCGGACCAGCCGATGTATGATCCATGGGGAAAGAGATCGATGAGATCTTCAGCCTTGGCCAGCTTCTGGAGGTAGGAGGGCCGTCTCACACGGCTTTTCAAAAGTGCGGACGCAGCCATTGTGTGGTGGGAAGGGTTAGAGTGAGCGCAAAGAGTGGAGAGGAGTTGTCAGAGGGGGAAGATAAGGGGAAAGAAAAGAAGGAAGAGGGCGGATGGGATGACGAGAGAGGAGGAAACGAAGAATAGAAATAGGTACGCCACGGAAATGAACTCCCCACGGGCAGCTGATTGATTGCCCAAGGTGGAGAAATCCTCCTGTCCGGGTTACGGGGGATGAAAGTAGAGGTATTCTATGCAATAGGAGTAGTAATAGTAATTAATAGTCATGGTCCTACTATCTAGAGGGTGGATGGGTGACTGCTTAGGAACTACGGAGTACAAGCATGATCTATAGGATGGATCTCATCATCTTCCCCAGAGAACAAGGCGAAGAGAAGATTCAATTAAGCATGACTGGGATACTTTCTGCCTTCTCAACCCCAGATTCTTTTCTCTTTTCTTGATCCCCTCCAGATCCCCTCCAATGTCTCAAAAAGTACTTTTGTTTCTCTTCAGTGCATCTTTCATACTGACGTCACGCGGCAAACTCTCGGCCTTTTCTCGTTTCGTTTGTTCCTCTCTTTCTTCCACGCAACATCTGATAAAACTATGATAAAACTTCTGCTGAGTTATTTGAGATCAATTATTGCATATCAGCAGTTTCCGAGTCGAATACAAATAATCCTCCAAACAAATCATGCTCGAGCTCAATGACTGTCTGGGCTTGATCCGAGCCTTGTCCGGGTCTCGCCAATCGGCCAAGTCTCGGACTGTATCGGCTATATGGATGTTCGGCCACACGGAGCTTTCAACGCTTCCTTTCAGCTACAGAGTTCTCCTGAAGGCAGTGTTCGGTTATTCGACTCGCAGATGATAGATCAGAGATTTCAGGTATCCATCAGAACCAAGGTTGTCTCATCTCCAGACTCACTCCGGATTTCCTTGTCCGGACTGTGGGCCGAGAGGTGATCGGGTGTCGATATTATATAGTATATAGACTATCCCCCGCAAGCAAACAAATCGCAAATGCGTTAAAAGGATCAATCATTGTTAAATCGTAAACCTAGGCAGATATGCCGATTCCCTAAAGTACAAGTATAAATAGATAGACCAATCATATTTCATCCATCCCAGGACCCTCTACACCAATCCCAGTCAGGATCTCGCCGTCGGACTCGGTGAGCCTCGCCAGACAAGACTCCCGACGATAAACAGAAAAAAACCCCCATTTGTGCAACCGTTCAGTCTGTTCGCTAACCATACAGTTTGGAGAAACGGCACTGCTGTGATCATGAAATGAGAATATGTAACAACAACAACCGAAGCGTTGAGAAGAAAGCATCAAATTAAAATCATAGATGGAGTCAGGACAATTGGCCAGCCTGAATCTGCCTTCCGCGCTCATTGGGTCATTGCTCCTTGGACTCGGGTGCCGTGGATTCTGCGTCAGGCATCTCGGCATCTTCCTTGTCACCCTTCTTCTCGGAGCCGGCCTCTTCCGTCGCGCCCGGCGGGGCCTTCTCCTTCTCCTTCTCAGGTTCAGGGCCCTTAATCCACGAGCGGAATCGTTGGTTGGACTCGTCGACTTGGTCCTTGCTGAGCCCCTGCGCCCAGCTGGGGTTGTTGACAAACTTTTCCATAAACCGATCGCGCCGTCTCTCCTTGACAGCGGCCTCCTCCTTGGCGATGTCTTCAGGCGACTCTTCTGAGAGTGCCTTGGGACGCCACCACCAATCGCAGCTCCCAGGTTCGTACAGAATATGATAGCTGTTGGCACAAATCCGGATGATAAGACCATCCTGATGGACCAGCGGCCGATAGTAGCGATTATACTCCTCTTCTTGCTCAAGCTTGGGCGGCAGGTTCCGCTTCAGGAAGGGCATGCGCATCTGCGAAAATGGAACACCTTCCGTAGGGTCACGCATCGTGTAGGCGGAGACGTAGTACGACCAGCGCGCTTCCCGGCTCAGCTCTTCGTTCTCCAAGGTTGCGTCCTCGGGGGTGAGCAGTTGCACGGTGGTCTTCTTGGTTTGAGGGTTCTATAAAACGTTCAGTCAGCTTTGGACCTGCAATGACGGACCAACAGAGGGAGCACTTACATAGGTAATACGATAGATATCGCCGTCCTTGACGAGCCTCTCAACCTGCTTGCGGTACTGGATTTCTTGGTTATGTGTCGTCTCCTCCCGATCGCGCTCCTTGAAGAAGAGATTGATGATATCGGCACTGCGATCCTTGGAGTCGCCATTGAAGATGGAGCCAGCAAACTTGGCGATTCCGGCAAACATCTTTTCCAGGTTGTATAGCTGGTACCCGCTTCGCAAGTAGTAGCGGCGGAGTGTCTCCTCCAAGTGCGAGGCATCCATGTCGCCCTTGATGACCTCCTCGCACATGCGGACAATCTGTTGGTACAGATTGGCCTTTGGGTCGCAATCGTAGAAGAAGTCGGTTGGAAGCTTGTCCATGAGACCGAGGTCACGGGCGGGTTTGGGGATCAGCGCCCGGCGCACATGCTCGTGAGCGTCTTTCTCGTGCATCTTGATCCGCAAGAGTCGCGAATAGAGAATCTCGAAAGTGCGGAAGAAGCAGTAGATGTTCAAATTGGCATACAAATGATGAACCTTCTTGACGTAGGATTCATTCAGCGCGTATTCTCGCTGCAAATTGAAGTTCCCTTGCCCAGGATGTTCCATCCACTTCAGCTCCGCAACGTCAAACGCCTCAGCAGGCTCGGGGACGGGAGTTGATGGGACCAGAACAGCATCTGGGGTGCCATCACGGCTGGCGGGAGTACTGCGGTCCTTGTCCGACCGATTGGCCTTTTCACTGCGCCGCTCGAGCACATCGCGGAGGAGATCCATCTTCTTTCCATTCACGCCTTTCCGATTGCGCCAAGTCAAGACGTCTTCAGCGGCCAAGCTCTCGTCGTCACCGTCTTCCCCGGATGGAGTGTCACTCGACATCTCGTTCATGTACATGTGGAAAGTATCACGATCCATGCCATAGAAGATCGGCACAAAGTCTTTGATGAACGCCATGACCTTGGAGGGATCGGCTCCGAATCCAGCAGAGTTCCGGTCAATGAAAAGTAATAGCAACTGAGTGGCGTCGATAATGACAGCCGGGTCATCAAAGGCAAATTCGAATTGATGTCTGGGAATCTGGAATCCGCTCTTGCGTAACCCCCTGGCGTCCTCAAATTTGCTCTGAATCTCATTCTGGATATGCTTTGCCACAAATAGCTTCTTGTCGGTCGCTTTGCTGGCAATTGCTTGATGATCCAAACTGCGCCAGTACGCCTTTTGCGTTTGCTCCCGCCAGACTTTATCCCACTCACGCTGCGCCAAAAAATGTTAGTGGGTTATCTCTCAGCGTAGGTTATCCGAATAACTTACCTGACTGGCTTTCCACTCTTCGCATTTCTGCTTCAAGCGGAAGAGCACAATCGGAAGGACGTGGCACGGTCTGTCGAACATTTCACGGATGATTCGCCCTCCGCGCTGTCGGTCGTATACTTTCTTGATCACTCGCTGGTAAATAGCTTCACTCTGGCCGCCAAGACCTGGCGGAAGTTTAAAGGCCGCTCGTTCCGCCTCGGTCATCACCAGGAATTGTTGAACAATCGGTTCAATGAGCTGAATTGTGCGAGTACAGGCCTCGATATGGTGGTCATAGTCATGTCGGTCCTCTTCAATACGGTGCAAGGCATCTTCAAACTGATTCTTGCGGTGGGCCACGAAGCCAGAGTCTTCAGACTCCCAAGTGGGATGAGACGCCCATTCATCATTCAGAACACTGTAGCACAATTGGTCGCGGCCACTGCAGGGTTTCTGGCGCTCACGCTTCGGAAGGAGACGGTAGCTGGGTCCAAGGGAACGGCAGTGCGACAGGTTCACAACACCAGACTCCTGTTTGGGCTTCGTCTCAATGACCTTGTCTTCAGGTTCATCGATATGCATGAAACGCTTAAACCAGGCCATAAGCTCCGGATTCGAGCCAATATACCCAGCGGCTTTCTTGATCAGGACATTCCTGTCAATGAGGTCGGTAGAGTATAAGTTACACAATTTGAGGAACTCGTTGAACATCGACTTGTTTCCAATGTACTTTTTGACTCGATCGAAGAAGGCAAACTCTTCTTGGCTGGGCGTCATCGTCTGGCTGGGCTGGATGGGCTCAGGAAGAGCGGGTATGAGCGTCGGCGAAACAGCAGGGATCTCTGCTTGGGTTGGTTTGGTATGGTGCACTTTCGCTCTCTGCATATTTTGTGAGTTGTCACATTCAGAAATGTAACAGAGGGAAAAGCCGAGAGAAAGGGGACGCAACGTGCAAACGATATTCAAAGCAGCGACGACGTAATGTAAAGGACCAGAGGGGAGTCAAGTATGGGTCGTGAATGCAGAAGAGATCAGGCGTGTGAATGGCGCGGAATTAGATTTCGCTCACCTTGTTGGCGTTGCCAGTCTGTAGGGCTGCAGGGCGGCCCGCCTGGGCATCAGCCACCCTAGCGGCCTCAGCACCCGCGGAGGGTCCAGAAATCGAAGAGGTCATCGTCGAAGGAGCGCTAGGACCACCCCTGCGTTTCTTCCCTTCCTTGGCAGAGTCCTTGACATTAAACTGGCCCAAGGGCGGCATTTTCATATCCCGACCAGGTGTCTGTGACGGTAGGCTGCCCGCGCTTGGATAGCCGGGTTCTCCTCGCACATTGCTGATGGGGATCGCCTCTTCAGCTTGACGAGCAGCTGCTTGCTGCTTGGCGTGTGCTGCAGATTCGGGGAGAAACTGTTTGAAGTCCTCCAGCAAATCTGGTGCAGTATTGAACAACTGGGTTACCTGAGCGTAAACATCCTGAATTGGCTTTGATTCTCGTTGATATGTCTGCAGGATTTCAAGAAACTGCTTGTAGATCTCAGGTGCACTGGCGAAGCGATTCTACCAAAGGGATTGCTTTAGTGAGAGTTCTTTTGCCATTTGACACCACGTAAAAGGAACAACTAACCTTGATCTTGTTCACATAGCTGATTGCATGGTTAAACTCCACTGGTCCGCGCTTGTTCAAGTCTGCCTGCGTGCCCTGCAACATGCCTGAACCAACGCCAGCCAAACTGTTCATGGGCTGGGACAAACTAGAGGCTTGTGCAGAAGCAGGAGACACCTGCATCATTCCATGTCGTCCCATCGCAGCGGATGCGGCCGCGGCACCCTGAAGTTGTGAGACACCACGTTGGTCTTGCTGGTGGGCCATTGCTGCAGCACCCGCTGCAGCTTGCTGCTCTTGTTGGGTCGGGTAGTCAAAGTGATGATCTTGAGGTTGACCTTGTGCGCCTTGCCCGAACATGCCAGGGCCGATCATACGAGATCCAGGGGAGTAGGAAGCTGGAAGATTTCCTTGTTGTTGACCCTGGGGCTGCTGTTGCCAACCAGGTCGCGCTTGATCGTAGTAGTCAGTACGTCCATGCGAGCCCATGCCACCAGCGGGTCCCATGTCTCCCGCAGGGTCCATTGAGGGACGAGGTCGGGGCATATTCAAAGTATTCGTGCCTGAGGGGGTGGTCACACGGATCGCATCTGGATTGTCCTCTGTTCCACACTCAATGCGGTAACCTGGCGGCAGAAACGTGTTGAATCCCTGGATCAAAGCGGGATGCCCGTTGAAAAGGGTGGAGACGCGCTGAATGACTCCCGGTGTATCAATCCTGGCTTGGGTCAGCGAAGAACATTCGAATGGAACAGAACCCTTACGCTTGGCTCTTGAAATCTTTCATTATGTCCAGGAAGCGATTGTAGACGTCAGGCTGGTCCACAAAACGAACCTTGACCTGGTCCAAATAGCTAAGCGCATCCTGATGAGCTAGTCAGTATGAAGAGCTCCGGACGAGATGCAATTGAGGTGAGAAGACGGTGCTTGCAGTAGTTATCCCCGGACTGTTTACAGGTAACTGCGCATGCCGAGACTCCATCGAGGTACCAGATGTGCGAGACTTAAAGCATGATTTCCTCTGTCCCAATCCCGAATACCCGAGGAGCGAAGAGGGAAAATAATCAGATAAAAGTAAAGAAAAAAGGGTACTCACATTGAGGATAGGTTGCTGTCCCTGCGCGAGAGCTGCAACGTTTCCAGGAATTGGGCCACCCGAGCCGTTGAACATCATGCTTTGTCCAGGTGGGCCGGCCGGGTGCTGCATATACGCCCTTGGAGTGCCCTCTCCATGCTGCATCTGAGAGCCGTAGAGACCACCAGGGGCCCCAGATGGTTGCATAGCGCCTTGAGGGCCGTTTGGTGGATTTGAACCCAGATTAGACAAGAGCCCATTAGGCCCGTGAATGGAATTTGGCACTTTCGACGCCACTGGTTGATGCAGGGGAATCGACCCGGTATGACTCTGCACAGGGTGATGCTGTTGCTCACGTTGACGCTCGAGTTGCTGGCGTTCCAGCTGCTCGCGTTCGCGCTCACGCTGTTCACGTTCTCTATGGACCATTTCCTCCTGTTGTCGCTGTCTTTCGATCAACTCCCGTTCTCTTGAATCTCGCTCGCGCTCTCGGTTGAGGGACTGTGGAGAAGGGTGTTGCATTGTCTGACCGATACCCGGTAACGAGTGCCCTGTGGCGTGCGACGGAGCTCCAGGGTGTTGGCCATATGCGGGTTGATGAGGGCCACCGTGACCCTGACTCAATTCCGCTAGTCCGGGGAGGGAATGACCGGGGTTCTGGTTCGCGGGATGATAAGGACCTGGAGCAGCAAATCGTCAGCTAACAATCCAAGCTCTCGATTCAAGCACAAAATAGCAGTGAAGGCGTGTTCTAACCAGCAGGAGGCGGAAGGACTGGGCCGGCAGGTTGCGAAGATGGGCCCTGCTGAGACGGGGGGTTCTGGCTGTAAGTTCAAAAGAAGAGTCAGCGACAAGATCTCATGCGAATCATAAATGCTTGGTAGAGGAAAATACCTGAAAGAACCCAAAGGGCGAGGTTGTTGGCTCATCTGGTCCATCCCAGGGTGCGAAGGAGGGCCACCGGCAGGATGCCAGTTATCACTGCCAGAAGAGTTCATGATCTCTGCATGAACAAGATGCAAACAACAGAGTCCTGCTCCGAATTACAGGAGGAGTGTGAGGTTCTAATGTTGAAGAGGGCAAGAAAACGGTAGAGAGACTTTAGCCAAAGCTCTAGATCGGTTCTTCTTTTTTGCACTCTCGAGTGTTCTTGCTCCTGGTCATTTCACAAAGCCATCACTGTGCTGCAAAGCTTGGATTACCACAAGACAAGACTAACACAGAGGTAAAAAGACTCAGATCAGAGGAGAAGTAGAAGTATGAGCAAAAAAGCAAGGGCAACGAGTTAGAAGACCAAAAGACAGCCTCAGCCAACACAAGCAGTAGATCAGTTGGGGATGATGGTTTGCGCGCGACGGACCACGGCTGGTCTCCAAGAGACAAGGCGGAGGCTTTCAGGACGCTAACCACTTTCGTCCATAGTACATGGCCCGGGACAACGCTTTTCCGAGCTTTGCGATCACAGTCTGATTGGCTGATTGGTGGATTATTCTGCCCTCTGCTGACCTTTACCCTTTTTTCTCTTTGTGTTTGACTGTTTGACAAACTTTCATCTTTCTCTGTGGGCTTTTTCTGCCCTCTTGGCGCTAAAAGTGTCACTCAAGGGCTTTCGACGTCATTGACAGGAAGGATTCGGTGAGCACTCTAAAGACACTCTACAAAACTAGACATAGACTACTACGCCGTAGAGAGCTGCAGTCCTTGAAATAAGGTTCTTGTCTCCGTTGACTTTATAACATTGCTTTTCGAACTTGGGATAACTATGCCTGTATATCCATGATAGTTTTTAACTTAGGACAGACAAGGACCGCTGCCGATATATATGGGAAGATGGTGATTGTAATCCCTGAAAGACCGACCGACAAAGTATTACAAAACGAAGTGCTTCTAGGGCAAGATTTCATTAAGTAAAGACCAAAATATCTCCATGATCCATCTATTACACTAGATAGAAGTGTGTACTCGCATTCCGACTGAATGGTGATATTGTCACTCGTGACGCAGCCAGCATATTTGAGCTGTAGATCAGCAATACACCAAGTGTAACGCATATATTCCTCCTCGCCCAGGAAGACACGCAAAGGGCGGAAAGGACGCAATGAGCAGAGGTTGTGTTATGGGGAGAAAAGGGAAACGGTCACCACCGACTGCTTCTCGTCTTCTTTCTCTATTAAACCTCGCACCAAAACGCCCGCAAGCATCAATCATCCAAAGAGAGAGACCACACACCACTCCAACCGAAAGCTAGGAAAAAGATTCTGAATTTGGAACTGGCAACTTGGATTGTGGAACTGCGGATGCTGCTAGTAACCTCTTTTCTTCTGCACTATACTTTGCTCAAATGGATTGCCTCAAAGTCTCATTTTCTGACCCGACCATCCAATTGTGATGTAAACCTATACGGTCAATAGTCTTACAAGGCGGAGAAGACAAACAGCTGTTCCGACAGTATTAGCTCCCTTGCAAATTTTACCAGAACGACTCAGGAGGGAAAAGTAGAGCAAGGATACTCACGTTATTTGTAGCAGCAATGGCAATGCTATCCTCATAAGGATGCCAGCTCATGTGAAGAATCTTCTTGTTGAAATCGATCTGATCCGCATCGGTCTCCTTCTTCATCCGACTGCCAGGACCAGCAGGACTACCGGCCCTGGACCCATTCTTCTTGCCGTTTTTATTCATAGGTGTCGGGACACCGACCTTCTTGGCCTTGAAGGCGGACTTGTCTGCTTGCAGTACGATCTCCGTTTCCTTGCTAGGGTCCGTGGGGTAGATCATAAAGTTGTTGTTATAACTTCCAGTCATAACGTTCTCCGCATCACCCGAGAAGACCACCTCAAACTTATCAAAGATGCTGTCGTTCTCGTACGTGTCACACAATCGTGGCCGTAGATGCTCGTGGATCGGAATGGTCTTCACCGGTTGCCTCTCCATGTTGACATCCCAGATCTTGACTGTGAGGTAGTCTCTTGACACAATGTATCGGCCGTCGTGCGAGAAACGGACGTCCGAGATAGATGAGATGATTTCAGAGAAAAAGGAGCGAGACGAGGCATCTTCCTCTTGTTCAAAGACTGTCATGGAAAGTAGGGTCAGTCAAGGGTTTCCTGGATTTCATAGTGAGCGTGGACCACATACGCTTTGAATGTTCATCGCACAACGCTCGCTGCCGCATGTCGGCAAGCTTGATTGTGCCTTTCGAGCTGGCGTACATGAACCAATTGCAGCTAGTGGGATGGAACTCAGCAGCTGTGATGACCTCCGTCAGCTCTTCCATGTTTGCAGGTTTGATATCGACAATGTTAAAGCTCTGGTCTTGAATATTAAGGTTCCACAGGTTGATTCGAAGATCGTCGCTGCTGATGAAAGTCTCCCCATCACTGTTCACAGAGATGCTGTTGATGTGATATGCGTGTGCATTTGCATATGTCCTCCGAGGGACAGCTGCAACGACCGTATCATGATGTGTCATCCGTGGAAGCTTCAGAGCTGATGCATCCTTGAAGGATAAACGGGGCGCGCGCGGCGCCCCTCCACCACCAACAGCACCCGCGGGTGTAAGCTCGTTCGATAAGTTGTTCTCCGCCACCACCTTCAGCGACTTGTCAAACACCTTCCACAGTTTTATTGTTTTGTCATTCGTCGAAAGGAGGAAATGGGAAGCGTTTTGTCGTCTACACCACTTTATCTTGTTGATCTTCTCTTCGATCTCTAGTGATTTTAGGTAATCGAATTCCGGCTCGTGCGACTGAAATTCGGTGTGAAACTTATACTCGCAGGTTTTTTTCTGGTTGACTCATTAGAACCTTGTGCATCGCTGTGGTAAGAAAGGGTCGTCGCTACCGTCTCGTTCCGCTCAAACAGTACTACTCTCCCACCCTTGTCTCCTGTGGCCAGATAGTTACCGGTGTGGTCGAACTCGACAGTCGAGATGATATCCGCTGTGACATTGTTAGGATTCGGTTGTTCATTTCATTGCGGTTCAAACCGTCGTCGCGATCGAGTACCTGTGGTAATCGAGTGCACGACATAAGATTCTCATCATACCTTCTGTGATATCTTCCACATCGCCTTTGTCACCAAAGCATCTATTTCAAAATAGTCAGTGGCTTAGTCTGCGAAACGAACGCATGAGCGTAGGTGCAACGCCAGGACATCGGTAGAACCCATCCTTCCCGTCCAGATACCCATTCTTGAGCACCATTGGACATGAAGGAAGCAATCAATGATTGACGCAGCTTAGACCATGGAGCCCGCTATGACGAAAGATCTATGCGCTAGGGACTCACTGTGTGAACTTCCAGGTAGGTGAACCTGGCTCCCGGTCTACCATTTTCCTTCAGATACCACCCTTGACTAGGGTAGTTTAACGAATCCGAGGTAGAAGAGATCTATAATCCTGGGCTCAGGATCTTGATAACAATTCTTGATGCGAACGGGACAGATGGGATCCGACGTTGTGGTCCAGGAAAGGAGGTTGATATTTTTTTTCTTGGTTCTATTTTGCTCTTGTTGTTTCGGCCAGGAATGATAGCGGCTATGACGACCAGGTCCGATGGAGAAGCGAGCCTCGAGTGGGGAAATCAATGAGGAGCGAGACGGGTTAAGACTGGTTCTATCAGTAGATATAGAAGGGCGAGGGGAGGAAAGTGCGGGAGGATTGCGACGTCAGACAGGATTTAGTAAGGCAGAGAGACCCTTGTTCGTAAGTAGGTGACTTTTTGCAGGCTGAAGACGACAAATGATTGACAGCCTGGGCTGATTGAGGTCAAGAAGAGGGGTGAGTGGAGTAAAAAATTCGGTGTATTAGATGCAGTCAGCCCTTTTCTGTCCTGTTTTAATTGATTTTCTGAGGACGAGCTGAAGAGGAGAGGATATCGAAAATAGCCAAGCAACAACAGACGAGAGAGTCTGTTGGAGAAGCTTGGGAAGCAAGAGAGCCGGTGAGTGGGAGGGGAAGAGATAGGTTAGGTTAGGTAGAACGATTAGGTCAGTTCCGACAGAGAGAGAGAGAAGAGAGAGACACGACAGTACCAGTACCTTAGTCAAGGTGTTGAGGTGAGGCAGCGGTGGAGACGCGGGCAAACTGCTAGTACTACTAAGACTACCTTAGACTACAGCACCGCAGAGACGCCCAACTACGCTGACATCAACCACTTGGTCGTTGTAACTCTGTATCTTTCTACCATGGCTGGATTCGACAGCTCAAGATCGCAGTCATTCAACCTAGCACCATTTCTGATTTTATTTTTCAGGAACAGCTTTCATTCCTGCAGTTCTAAAAAGAGCTTGTCTGTTTCTTCCTAATGTCATAAACCCTGTGGTCCAGCCCACATGGCAATGCGATGATCCCATTTGGCTATTTTGATGAATCTCAGCCTATTTAGACCATTTAAAGACGACTGTCACAAACTCATCTTTGAAGATGTCATTGTCGTATATTCATTACTGACTTCGAAACTGCTAACCTTCCAGTCGTCATGAAATGATGGCCTGAGGCTCGTCACATGCCTTCCTGTACATTCCGACTCCATTAAGCCGAGAAGCATAGGCGATCGATCGTCATCACTGTTACTCTTCTGCTTGACAATCATCTGCTGATATCCTTTGCTCAACTGATTTCACTTTAACTAGGATTTAATTTCCGTCGTGCGTCCGCCAGCAACCCCTTGAATGTGCACGGGTTGTCGCACAGATAATCCCCGCCATTGACCATGTCAGACAACAGCGCGAAGCGGGGCACTGGCGAGAAATCCCCCAACGACCCCAGAAAACAGGGCGACTCTCGCAAGAGCGACGCAGAGAATCAAAACACTCCGTCTCTCGCTAATCGCATCCAGAATTCCGCAGCGGGTCTGGCAAGGAGTGCTTTTAACGCAACCGGCTCATCCGCAGATGCAGCGCATGTGCTGGGCAGCGGCAGCAAAGCCAGACCGTCGTCCTCGGCATCGTCCTCTGCCCTAGCAGCAGCAGAACAGTACAGAGAGAACGCGACTCCTACTTCGTCGAATCGAGCTTCGGCCAATCACCCTGCGGCGTCATTTCGGTCATCGTCGACAGGTCAACAGGGTGCATTCGAGCTCCCACCCCTAACCGAGGATGAATTTCAGCGCACATACGACGAAAGCCAAGTACACAGCAACATCGACTTCTTACCCTCGACAGAAACAGAAGCAGACACAGGAAAAGGCAAAGGCAAAGCAAGCAAAACACCCTCTCCCTTCTCAAATATCGAGCCCTTGTCCGCATCCTCGAGCCTGAACACCGCCTGGCAAAACGCCCTGCCCACGACCGCTACCACTCTCCCATCCGACGGCGAAGCCGTCGTGTCCCTCCTCTCAGATGTGTCCTTCGACCCCGAGTTCCCCTCCACCGCCGGAGAGCCCTTCGAACCCATCGAGACTGAGCTCCTCCCGCCGCAACTGACACCATCAGAGATCAAAATGATCGAGTCCTTCCGCCGCCACGCCGCGCTCGAGACCTCGACGTTGACGCCGGCTACGGAACCGTTCTTGCAGACACACAGACTCACATCCTTCAGTCTCGTCCCGGACATCGAGTCAGTCCTCAATAGCGTCCCAGCTGCGCAGGGTACGGACGCCACGGCGCTGCGGGATGCCGTTCTGATGGGTCTACCGGGTGCGGCGGAGTGGATTGCTGTCGAGGAGCGATACCATGATGAAGTCTGGGGATACCTGCGGCCGACACTGGAGGCGGCGGCCAAGGAAATGGAGGCGGATAAGGAGCAGGGCGCTCCCGTAGGGGACGGGCCCGCTGTTAGACGGTTAAAGATGATTTTGAGGCATATGCAAACCTGATATATACGTCAGACGGAGTCTTACCTTGTTCAGGGGGAACGTTTGCCTTGATATTAGGCTTGGATCTTCGTTGTACAATATTTACCGATAACTGATGTAACAATACTCACGCTGTCTAGTTGGCGGAATAATTTTCACCAAGCGTAAAGAGAGCTCTTAGAGATGTACAGCTGGAAATGAATCTTGAAGATATGCGAATTGTATCTTACAGACTAATAAGCTAATCATATAAGCATCAGGTGATATCATCCCTGCATCTCATCACAAAAAAAAAAAAAAAATATAGTACCACGTAACAGGACGTCAAATCAAATCAAAAGGGGTATGTATCAGAAGCCCAGAACGGTCGCAGCATGGGTTTTTGTCTTTCCCTATACTCAAATATATGTCTCATATCCACCTCTATATCGCACACACTTAGAACTCCAGGCTGGGAGTCTGGCCCTTGACCCGACCGATGACGATCTGGGCAGCGTACTTGGGGATGACTTCGTCGTCGTGAAGCATAGCAAATTCTGGGAGAATTGTTAGCATTGGTACCTGATGGTTAGAGGGCGGAGATGACATACCTTCCGTAGCATCACGGCCCATGAAGTTGTAGAGGGCATTGGCACCGCCGGGGTGCTCATCAAGCCAGTTGGTCACGTCTAAGACAACACCCTTAACAACGATCCAGAGGTCATCCTTCTTGTTGTGCTTGGCAACCTCCTCCATGGTGTACTCCTTCTCCGGAATCTTGAAGTTGGAGATGTCGTTGGGCTTCGAGGCCTCGGCAGCGGCGGCGGGGGCGGGGGCGCCCTGACCGCCAGTCTGGACAGTCTCAGGGGCAGCAGGCAACTGAGCACCGCCAGCGCCGCTGCCGTTCCACTCGACGGAGATCTTGCCGGGGGTGGAAGGATCGATGTGCAAAGAAATTTGGCCCAGACGCTGTTGGGCGGTGGTGGAGCCGGAAGTCAGCTTCTTGAACAGGTATTCGCTGGCACTGTCACCAGCAACACGACCGTACACAACGCAGCCCAGCAGAGAAGAACCACCAAGACGGTTGGCACCGTGGACACCACCCGCAAGCTCACCGCAAGCGTAGAGACCATCGAAAGGCTTCTTCTCGGAGTTGAGGACCTGAGCGTGCTCGTTGATCTCGATACCACCCATGGTGAAGTGCAAGACAGGCTCCATGAGGGCAACATGGAATTCATCGTTGATGTCAAAGGGCAGGTTGTGGAAGAAGCGCTTGCCCCAGGGGTCCTTCTTCTTGCCCTCAGCGATGAGGTTGTACTCATCGAAAGTCTTCTTGAGAGCAGCCTCGCCACAGCCGATCTCCTTGGCCAACTCCTTGCCGGTCATTTTCTTCATCAGACCACGGCCGGAGTAGTGACGGGTGTGGAAGTCCAAAACATTAGAGGCCTTGCTGTTGAGGATCAGGCGGATGGGCCACTTGCCCTTCTCCTTCTCCTTCCACATCTGGCCCGAGACGTAGTCACGGTGGCCCAGCTCGTCAGAGAAGCGCTGTCCGTCCGAGTTGAGCAGGAGACCACCCTCACCACGGAGGGCCTCAGCAGCAAGGAACTTGAACTTGGCGGTGGGATCCTTCGGGTCAACCAGACCGGTAGGGTGCACCTGAACCTTGTCCATGTCAATACCGTTGGCGCCGATAGCCATCAGCATCTTCTGACCATCACCTGTGGCATGAGTGCCGTTGGTGCTGGACAGGCCGAAGGTGTCGGGACGGTGTTGTTTCAGGAGAGAGCCGTCGCCAAAGTCGGCAGCGTAACCACCAGTAGCCAAGATGACGACTCCGTCTGCGGTCTTGGTCTGGCCGTTCAGCTCGTAGGTGACACCGGTGACTGTGTCTCCAGACTTGTTGACGGAGGTGACACGAGCCTTCTTGACGATTTGTACTCGCTCAGGCTCCTTCTCGCTGAGCTCTTCTAACCGCTGCATGAGAGCGTATGTAATGGCCATACCAGGAAATTTGGCATCGTGGCCACGGTGTGTACGGGGCTGGGAATGACCACTTCACGGGCATTAGCAACCGAACAAATAAAGAATTGCAAAGATGGCAAACGCAAGGCAATGATTTCACTCACCCAAGACGAGAAACAAGAGTGAGGTCGAGGTTGAAAACATCCTGCAGCCATTCAACCGCAGCAGCGGACTTGTATGTAAGGACCTTAATCAGCTCAGGACGAGCCTTGTCCCGGGCAGATTTAAGGGTATCTTCGTAGAAAGTCTTGACGCTGTCCTGAATCCCCAGCTCGACTTGCGTACGGGTGAGGGCACCGTTGATACCGGAAGTAGCCTTGGTGGAGTTGCCACCGAAGAAGGCTGATTGAATTAGCCTCTCGTAACGAATTTGCGCTCTTGAAGATGAATTCCAAGGAACACTTACCCTGCTTGTCAAGAACGAGGACATTGCCTCCGTTCAGGTAGACGGTGTGGGCGGCACTCAGACCGGACACTGAGAGACGAGACAATGGTCAGCCAGAAAGCCCGGGCCAAATCGAATAATGCGGGGAAAGCTATCACTCACATCCACCACCAACGACGATGACTCGGGGAGAAGTGGCCATCTTTGTGTATATGAGAAAAATGTAGGGAATAAAAACAACAGCGAGAAGGTTAAGGATGGGGAAAGGGGAAATCAGAAGATGGGGAAAGAGGATTTAAAGCATGAAGGGGAGAAAGGCTCTGGATGGGAAGTGGGCAGGATCCGGGGTTCAGAAGCCGACAGCACATTGGCTGTTATTCGGCCGAGGCACAGACTGTATGGTAACTGCGGATACAGCAGTGGGCCAGCACTCTTGGAATCCGACCGAGGACGCTTGGTAGTTTGGTCGTGATGGATATGAGAATGGGTCTCTTCAAGAGTAATGGTCAATTACGATCATTCTGGTTTGTCCATTTGTATTGGAAGTAGTGGATATCTGTTGAATTGACATCTCTATCATGAACAGCTGAGGGAATCTGGATACAACACGAAACATAGGTACATAAGAACTGGATTCACACTCAAACAGATAGTCCTCCTCATCCCTGTCAATGTCCATCACATGCGAGAAAATATCAGCTACTCTACAAAGTAGACTATGCCTCCTTATTATTATTGGCCTTGGGTAGGGGAAAATGCCATGTAATCGTCACCCACAGTCACCAGGACCAGGTGCTGTTTCTCCGCATCAGCCTACCCCAAGGGATTTTCACATGCTCTTCAAGAACCCAAGTCAGCTGTCGTTTTGTCTTCGCTTTTTCCATTCGTAGACGGAGACGACACGTTTAAAGTAACTGCTAAGAATTTTAGTCTGATAGAATGCTTGATAATTCGAGCTATGTAAATGGTCAGGTGCAATACCTGGACTTATTCTACCAACGGACAGAGAGGTGTATGAGGAACAGTATCTGAGCTGAAGAGATTCAGCACAAAGTATATTACGACCTTGCTTTTTGCCGGAATTATTCTACTACTGCTACACTCATCATGTCATATCCTTGAAGATTGTCAGACCATTATGTCCGCTACTTAAACTGTGCAAGATGCAGCATCAGCCAAATGACGGCAGAGCAAAGCTCACATTGTCGTACCTCGGACCGAGAAAGCACCTCTCCAGTATGGCATGACCGTATGATAAGCGCATTAAGCCCAGCTCCATTCAACTACATTCATATCCATTTATCTACCATCCCGTCAACCTTATCTTGCGCAGTAGAAAATAATCATGGCCCCACGATATTGAGCTCAACGCTTCCACGCTCAAACAGACAACCCCCCAATCCAGGGTACTGACAGTACGCATCGGCAATTGGTCACGTGTATTCGCTCGGCAACCATTATCCCTTTTGAGGCAAGCAATGACCTCATACTGTCCAGCGGCCAGAATTCCTGACATAATCATGTCGCCTATTGAAGTTACTGTTTTGGGTATCCAACAGCCGATCTACTGAATCCAAGATTTATGAGAACAAGACATAGGACTGGGTACTTGGATGCTTTAGCAGCTTCTTACTCTGTATATCGTCTATCTATCTGGATAAGCATCAGCATTGATGCGATTTTGTGATATATGATTTGTCGACAAGGGTACTTGTTGATACGCTCTCGGTGTTACTTCTCCGGAGCCACTCAAGTTGGTTGGGATTGTGGAAGGGAAGGACGGTCTCGGGAAACTTTGGCCGGGTATAATGCCTTGCGACAGCTTGCTCGGATATCAAAGATCGAGTCGGCCGATATTCTGGAACGGATATGCAGCCAGAACATTCTAGTTGGAGATCGTTGTTGCTGTTCGGTGAGGTATAACGTAGTGACCGTACATCATTTATGATACCTTAAAATAGTCAAAATGCAAACTAGATCTCATCAATCCATCCATGTCACGCTCTTGGTGACAAGAAACTCTTCCAGCCCCTGAGCAGCGTTGAATCGGCCCCATCCACTGTTCTTCACACCACCGTGTGGCAGGACAGGTTCGTCATGAATAGTCATACTGTTGATGTGTACGGCACTGCAATCTATCAGTATTGTAGAGGGACTGACATGGTACCAAAGTACTGACCCAGATTGTATCTTCTTGGCGATCGCCAACCCCTTCCTCAGATCTTCGGTGAAAACGGCCGCGGACAATCCATAGCCACTGCTGTTGGCGATGCGAATCGCTTCCTCGTCGCTGTTGACCACCATGCATGCTGCCAGCGAGGCAAAGGCTTCTTCCTGCCATACCTCCATGTCTTCCTTCACGCCTCCAAGAAGTACCGGTGCCATGCGCACACCCGATTCTCCCACTGTCTCGTCAACTGACCCGTTGATGAGGTGAGCGCCTGATTCGAGAGCTCTGTCGATTATGCCCTCCACACGCGTCTTGGAGGCGACGTTGACCAATGTCGGAGGCGGGGCGGAAGGGTCGAGGTTCGATCCGAGGGCTTTCTTCAACGCATCCATGAACGCCGGCGCAATGGACGAGTGAATGAGGATTCTGTCAGTGGACATGCAAATTTGGCCAGACTAAGCCACAGGAGTTAGCTTATGAGTGCAAAGCGTATGTATGAGGTAGTCGTGAAGGTTCATACGTTCAAGAACGCGCCCGCCAGAACCGCCTTGACAGCGGTTTCAATGTTCGCATCTTCGCAGACAATAGCGCTATTCTTTCCTCCCAGTTCCATCAAACAGGGTTTCAGGTTCTGGCCACATGCGCGAGCAATCTTGCGCCCCACAGCCGTGCTACCGGTGAAATTGATCTTTCGCACCGCCGGGTGCTCGATCATAGCATTGACAACTTCGGGGGCGTCTTGAGGACGGCATGATATGAGGTTGAAGCAGCCCGCAGGTAGGCCGGCATCTGCAAACGCACGTGCGATTGCCCAGTATGAACACGGGGAGAGTTCAGACGATTTCAGAACGGTGGTGTTACCGGCTGCGAGTGCGCAAGCCGCGGACCGAATGCCGAATACATACGGAGCGTTCCTTTGCCATGGAAGACTGTTAGCGCAGGCTTATAATATAGCCATCACAGACTATCAAGGCCTAATGGTACTGTATGCCAACCTACCATGGAACAATTCCCAGAATCACCCCCATAGGCTCCTTATAAATGATTGCACTTTGACCCTCCTCCTCAACAACCGGCACACTCCCGCAAATCGAAGTGATGCGCCCAGCAATTTCCCTCAGCATGCGAATACCCAGCGGGACGACGAAGAACTGCGATGCGCCGACATCAGCACCCATCTCGGTGCGCATATACTCGGCATTCTGGACCAGGCGACTCTCCAGTATGTCGGCTGCCTTGAGCAGGATGTCTCTGCGAACGGTCGGTTTGGTCTGCGACCATGCTGGGAAAGCGGCCTCGGCGGCCTCGACCGCGCGCAGGGCGTCTTGGGGAGTAGCACTGGCTGTAGCCCAGCAGGGTTTGTTGGTGTAGGGGCTGATCACGTCAAAGGTTGTAGAGGTGACTTCCTCCTTGCCGTTGATAATCAGTGGAATCACGGAGGGAGGGGCAGGTGCGCTGCTTTCATCGTTCGAGGCCATTTTCTGGGATAGTAAGATCCTCAGATCCTAGTGAAGAGAACTGTTCCTGGGTTGATAGGGCGATTGACGACGATGAACATAACTTTCTCGACTTGGGATATAATTGAATGAGTGCTACTGTACGAGACAGGCCGAGTGAGGGGAAGGCACTGGATACCTATCGAAGAAAGTAGCACAGAACTAAACCAATAATATTATTATATTCTGAGGGTGTACCTTATGCTAAAAGGTGCTCCAACTCGGCTATTATTCATTGCTCTTGAATGTCTTCCTCTTTTGTTCACAAAATAATGTCGAACATAAACTCACTGTAGATCTCAATACTCCACCTGATGCAACTCAATTTGACAATAGGCAAAACAGTGCAGACTGTGCAGTTCCCTTTTTACGATATCATTATTAATTAAAAGTGAAGCCATGTTCTATTGTAGATACTCTGTAGATAAAATGGCAATAAGGAATGGTCTTCAATAATCATATCTGCGTCTGCATATCATTCCAAAAGGAAAAAAGCTGAGGTAAACATGTGTTGCTTTTTCCCCTGTCTCCCACATGGACGTTTTAACAGTCGCCAGAAAATTGGCGATAGTCCGAGCCCAGCGCTGATCAGGAACAGTCTTGGTGTCTCGCAGATGGCAAGACATTCTTCCAATGGCCGATAGAATAGATCTCCCGGACTATTGAATCTTGAGGAGGGATATGTTTTAGAGACTCGGTGTAAATCTATCAACCAAGCATCAGCCCCATCCGGGCTTCTCTTTCTCTTCATCCTTCGACCCGATTAACTCTCAATTAACCTTCTAGAGTATCGGGGGCGTCGATCTTGCCGGACAATCCATGGTTATGAGCAAATGACGGGCTGCTAAACCTCGGTAGTTGGACCCCATTACCCACACCGAATGGGGTGATGGCGTACGTTCGTTCGCCGACTGCCATGGAGGGAGCGATCTTGTTCTCAAACGTGGAGCTGCAGCGCCCCCAAGCGAATGAGAACCGTGAATAGCGCCAAGGTTCAATAGACGTCCCGCTTAGTGGAGCTGAGCACTTGAGGCATTCAGAAAAGAGTGGAAGCCCACTCCGCCCTCATGGATCGTGAATTCGTGATGAGAGCCGAGAATGGAAACAACATGGAAATACCATCCAATCATGAATATCGCATCATTTCGTGATGGTGGGGCAGAGAGGACAATCGATGTCAGCGGTCGCTGACTCGCAAGGTTGAAGTCGAAGACGCTTTTTCCAGATGAAGAGATGATTGTCTTGTATCTATCAGATGTGCCTGACTACGACCTTGTTATTTGATAAGTTCTTGAACAGATCAGTGGATAACATCATAAAGCGACTATTGATTCTCTTTTCTTTTTCTCCCCTCACAGATTGCAGATCATCAGCTTCATGTATGGGATCAATTTGCCTCAGGGCCAACCGATCTGAGTTTTATCCCCCGGACAGGAGCAAATGACACCGTTTTAGGAAGGACGACGGCCTTCCTCCCAAAGCAGCAGCACCATTATCATCCCATGTGGTAAAATCACATCTCGGGGCGTGATGTGGTGTGATGTCGGAATCAATGATCGGACTGACCTAGCCAGAAGCGTCCCTGAGATGACTGTGCAATCTCCTGCTGTCCAGCATCATTCTGATGTCGAGCAATGGCAATTCTGTGGGAAGAGATAGAGTCTGACATGCATGCCAGTTTTATGGATCCCGGCGCCATGAACATGGCTCTTTCGGCATTTCATTTCCTCAGCTCGACAACAGGGTCCACCTTTCCCATGAGGATCGTGTTGTTCGAAAATAAGAAGCATATCTACACACTAATAGGGTTACATTCGGACTGCCGGAGGGGTGTCCTGAATCCTGGATGGATTTTCTACTCGCTTGTTGATCTTCCTACCCCATGCAGCGGTGGAGCCAATATTTTCCACTGCCACGAGGGTGCCTGGTTCCTAGAGGAACGGTTCAAATTGCGTGTCAAATCAATAATTCGCCCGTTCCCGAGAAATTTGATCCTGTCGCGCCTTGCTCATCCCGCTGCTGAGTTCCCGTCGAGGCCAGTCACAACCATGCATGCATGCACCAGGGAGAGTTGAAATCTGCTCTTGTCTGGTGATTTCATTGCCTTAGACTGGCGCATGTACTTGGTTTGCTACAGGATATTGGACCACTTTTGCTTTTTGTGCTCGTCCATGGCTAGTGGATCGTCCTTGCAAATCACTTAACAGTCGCACGGATCAGGAAAGAGATGATGCTGCAGTATCTTGTTGGTCACTGAAGACCCATCTGCACAACCTCTGCCCCATTCACTTATCCAGTGATACTGCCAGTGTCGATATGCGATAGACTACATAAAACATGGTGCATTGTCTTCTCCCCGGTCACCTTTGCTCCTTTTTCTTCCCAAGATTCCCGTCTTCCTCCAGCCAGTCTCTACACAGCGATATACGGCTGCTGTCTGTCCTGGAGTTATACATCGTGTCATTGAACTTCCTCTTCTTCGTCGTTCCTTTTTGATAGTGTACCTTGCTTGATAGTCTTGCATGTTTACATAACGCGACTTCAATCTGCCCTGACTACGGTCGTCCATTCCTTGAAATCACAGATCCCAGATCGATCTTGACCCTACTGAAATTATCATTCCTTACCGGTTACCATAGTCAACCCAAAATGGCGATCACTTCTAGAGGGAAGAGTATGATTGCCATTGTGTCGGTGTTAGTCGGCCTTTCGGTACTCGCCGTCATCCTCCGTGTCTTTGCGAGAATCAAACGGAGAGTCAAACTTGGAGTAGATGATTACTTATGCTTCTTGTCTATTGTTATGTTGATTGCCATGGAGATTGAATTGGTTCTCTGTAAGTCCCATCTCGCCCAGCGCTTCAAACCAGTGCTGACCGCATGTGACAGGGGTTGCCATTGGAGGAAATGGGCAACATCAAGCAGATTTGGACATGGAAACGATGATGAACTTCGGCAAGGTCAGTAACACATTTTACTTTGTCACCTCCTTCCAGCTGTCTTGCTAAGTCTTACCGGTTAGATCTTCTTGTCGAATCAGTTCACCTACTTCATACTATGTCCTGCTATCAAGATCTCCATCATCTGCTTCTATCGTCGGCTATTCAACACAAAAAGTTTCCAACTAGTGACATTCGCTCTCAATGTCCTCATCGCCAGCTGGGGAGCAGGTATTTTCCTTGCTTGTGCCCTACAGTGCCGTCCTCTCAGAGCGTACTGGGACAAAAGCATCGACGGTCACTGTTTTGACGGGAACAAGTTCTTCATCGTCAACCAGGCCTTCAACGTCGTCATGGATTTCGTCATATTGGCCCTGCCCATTCCCATGATCTGGGGCCTACAAAGAGCATGGCAGGACAAGCTCGCCTTGAACGGCGTATTCGCCCTAGGTGCCTTTGTCTGCTTCGCTAGTATCTACCGGATCGTCGTGCTCTTCTGGATCGAAACATCCGATACGACCTTTACCGTCTACCAGGCCACGCTTTGGACGCATATCGAGCCGTCCATCGGCCTTATCTGCTCTTGCCTCCCCATCATCCGCGGGCTCTTTCCGAAACTCAAGCTGTCCGGTAGCCGCAAGTCTACGGCTCCTTACTACATCAAAACTGACTACACTGGCTCTCACCTCGCCACTCTGTCCAGCCCGAAGTCCCCTGCGTCCGCCTACTTTAAGATGGAGGAGGGTCTCATTTCCCGAGCCACTAGCGATACCGAGGTCTCGCCGGACGATTACCTCAGCCCTAAGGACATTGCAGTTCGAACAGACATCAAGATCAGTCAGGACGCTGCGTCTCTCAGGTCACAAACTTGAGAACTTGTGATTGCTTACGCCGACATATACGCAATAAAGGAGAGTGATTGGCTCCTTCCGAAAGACATTCGCGGACCAAGTTCTGCCGTCCTGTCCAACGTCGACAAACTAGGAGAGTCCTCTCCAGTGTTTCGCCGGACTGTGACACCCAGAACTATGCAGTCCACCTCTCCAGATAGCGAGGAATTAAAAATCCTCGCCCCTACCTCACAGCTCCCGGTCCGGGCGCCCGATTCGTGAGATTTTGATGGCCTTGACGCGATCGGAACCAAATATTGCCCGACGCTGGTGGTTCACCTCCAGCCAGTATGATCCTTACCCAAATGGGTGCACTCCTTCGGTTGACGGTAATCTAGTAGTATATACCCACCTGTCTGTCACTGATTATTTCATCAACATCGGTTATTGTCCACTTCTCACCACTGTCCTTCATTGTCATATATCTTGATACCCGCTTGTCCCTCGATTTGAGCAGACCGATGACCTTCGTTTACCTAATTGCGATGCGTAGCAAGCCTATAAGTGTCTAATACATAATATAAGCCTAATGGATCGAATTCACTGATATCTTTCAATGGAGTGTAGATATTGCTCTGGTTCATTGTTCGTCAAGCTGCTCACAGTTCCAACGCTCTATCGCACCATCTGTCCCACAGAAAACTCCTAAAGCACCAATTAGCCACCGGTCATCTACCAGACTGAATGAGCACATACCGGAAACGCATCTGTAATACTAACTGCAACCCGTTCCACATCCTCCGCGAGACCCTGCACCCCCGCATCCCACTGTCGGATATGTCGTCCCGTTGCAGTGGCAGACCCGCCCTTGCTCGAGTCAAAGTAGATCACACCGGCGATTTGGTCAATGCTACCGTTCAGTCGACCCTGCTCGACCATTCGCGCCGCGTAGGCCTCCGCCTTTTCGCCCGCCGTCATGTCTCCGCTCTCCTTGAGACCCAGGATCGCACCTAGTGCGTCCGTCGTGATGTTCTCGTAAAGTTTACTGGCGGCGACGAGGTTATGTTCGACGACAGCCTTGTCAAGCACTGTGGTGCCGTCCGCCGTCCGAGCCAATTGGTGTGGAGCCAGTCGTTCAGAAAAGGCAGCAATCTCAGCTGGATCCAAGAGCCTATCCAGGAACATCTTTTCAAGAATCCCAAACTCCTCAACGGAAGTCGCACGGTCGTCCTTGTACAACGTAGCGAGGATGCGAGAGCGTTGCGGTCCCGCCGGGGCAAGGACCGCACACCGAATCGCAGCAGCAAGCGCCTGTAGCCGATCGCTCTCATCCACCCCACCAGCCAAACTGACGTTGAAATATTCCTGGCTCGCATCCAGGAACCGCCGTCGCGCATCGAGGATCCGGGCCTGAGACAGCTTGAAATGGAGCTTCAGCTCGTGGTCCTCGATCTTGCTAGGCAAGTTCTTGATCTTGTTCAGGAACCCCTCTGCGCTGGTCGTATCGTCCTCCTCCAGGTATAGTCGTACTATCCGGATCCATAGCCGCACCTTGGCAGCGTCCGAGACAAGTCTCTGTGAACTGTCGATGTGGATGCCTTGTAGTGCCCGTGCGGCTGCCGCGTAATCCTCCTGGGACTCGTATGCGTCTGCGAGGATCTCACGAATCTGGGAATCTTGCTCCTCGACGGATGAGGAGCGAGATTGGAGCAGCGTTACTGCATGCTGGCCGACTTTGATCTGCGTTTCTGGGGTGAGTTTCTGGAGGACGGCGATGAAGGAATCGAGGAGCGGTCGGGCCGCTACGATGCTGATTTCTTCGCTGAGTACCGAGTCAAGGTAGTAAATCAGGTCTTGGCCAAGCTCATGCTCGGATGATGTGGATGTGATCTCGGAGAGAAGGTTGGTGTACTGCTGGAGCTTAGTCTGTGGGTTGGTGGACGACTCAATCTCCGCGAGTGCGGAGGCGATCCTCTGAGATGCCATAAGGGAGTGTGTTCGCTGATGGAACAAAGTGCAAGCTTAATCTAGTCAATTAGCTGGTTCAATAGCAGTACAATTAGCGAGCAGATGTGAGAAGGAGAGCGCTTGATGGGTTGAAGGTGACGCTTGGCAAAGAGTGGAACTACGGAGCAGTTGATGGAGCTCCGCTTATCGATAAGGCTGGTTGTGCTGGGGGCATACAACAATACAACATGTGGAGAGAACAAGGGAATTAGAACAGTGAGTAAACGTGGAAGAATACAAATCCATAACATGTTATGACTCGATCTGAGGTAATTTGTTGAGATCAAATTCTACTTTGCAATTTCCCGTCCTATGTTCCATAGAGGCGAACCCTTCAATGTCTATCTCAGCTTTAGCTTTGTCAAAGCCAGTGTGTCTGTATCCATGTCCCTCTTCCGGCATTCTACAAAATACCGTTAAGGACGTTCTCTCCAAAGTCTCGCAAAATGCTTGACTCAAGTCAGACCGAACCATTCAGCCGAATTGCAACCAGGCTCCGGCACACTAGCGTCCCCTAAGCCGATGTCTTCCCCTGTGACTTGCTTCGAGATGAAGTTCTCGTTGACTCACTTAGCAGCGAGATGGCACACTCAGAGCCCAAGGCAACCACCTTCCAGTGTAAATACCAGAAGCCGAAGCACACAAGCAAGAAACCCCCGAGAATCCTTTAGAATCGACTTGTCTTTCAATAAGCGGAAGTGTTCTCACAACTGGAATCATCTCGCGTTGTGACAGGATAGCAACTAGGTCTTAGAAGCTGACGCGATGGATCGTGGGAGCCTAAATTCCACTCGAGATCATTGTTTCATCAAGAGACGCAGAGGCAGAATGGGAAAGGACTGCGGCACCTGAAAAATGTATCAGAGGGAGTAGACAGGCGCAGTGCATTATTGCTGCTCGCATGACCTTGATGCATAATAACGCTGCTCAATCCCTGGCGAGCTTATCCCTTGTGTTGAGCGACTTGCGTCAGCTAGCCATGATTAGCAAGCACCATAATATATGCAATCTATGACTGCAAAGGACATTCAAATGAAGCTGGATAATGGGTGGTTGATTACTGCAATGTTCATCGAGGGGTTTGTTTTTGTGTCTTTGTGGTCACTGGTCACAATAGCGCCACCGCCTTCGCGGACCCGCTCTTCGGCAGCTTCCTCTGCTCTCAGCGGCTGCATAGCGACAAGCTTCAACATCACGTCACTTGAGACTTCGAACCGCTATACAGGCCTTGATACGTTCACACATTTCTCACGATACACACGGTCGCATGATTTGAAATTGCTTGCTGGAGGATTTTGAGAGTCTCACGCCTTTGATCGAGGAGGATTCGGCATAATGTTTGCCCAGGTCAAGCCGGACCCAGACGCCCCGACGCCTTACATCAAGCCCGACCCCGATAATAAAGACACCTTTCTTCCTGATATCGACGAGGATATTTATGATGATGATGGGGACCTAGATTTTTCAAACGCTGGGCAGAATGTGTGGCTTTCGCGCATTCCGCGATCGCTCTGGGAGCATTGGGCGAGTCTCGACGACGATGAAGAGATACAGATTGGAACGATGAGAATAGAGGGACCGCCGAATGATATTAAACGGGTAAGCTCTGGAGATTTGAACCTCGTTTCATACCTTTTTTCTCGTTTCTGGCTCGGTCGTAACAAGTGTTCTCTGTAGGTCAGTATTCGTCTCAACGAACGAGAAGACAATCGCGATATTCCCAAAGACTACATACTGCAGCGACAGACCATCAACACGGGAAACGTAACATCACATGCGACACAAAACACCTATCTGTTCACGGAAAAAGACATAGCTGGTCATGAAAATCGCATGGTGGTTTTCGGAGAAGCGCGGTCGGCATTATACGAAGCCATGAAGCGCGATGCGAGGAAAAAGGAGCGCAGGAAAAAATGGGAGCCATATGTGCGGCGAACGGTGCCTAGTACGTCTATATTGTTCTTGGAGGCGGGAAACACTCTACTGACACTACAGCAGAACAAACCGCCCTAGTAGGAGGCGTCAGCGAAGAGTTTAATTGCCTGCCGGTCGAGAACGAGGAATTCCGACGGTTGTCGGAAAAGAGAGCTCTCGAAGCACTCAAGCCCAAACGCGAAACCGTTTTCATTGACAAGGTTCCGGGCAAACTTCTGCAGGCGAGAAATGTGTTGCCTGGAGAGAAGGGCGCCTTTGTGGTACGTTTTGTTTGGATTCAATTGACATCCCCGACGGTTATACTAATGCGGAATGCAGCAAGCTACGAAGCCTGTCAAGGGAAAGGCCCAAGAGAACAAGACCACACGTATGCCGCAGAACGAACTGCTGGATCTTATTTACCAGTGCTTCCGCGAATACAAATACTGGCCTTTTAAGACGCTCAAGGCGAGACTCCGACAGCCAGAGGCATATCTCAAGCAGACCCTGGAGATGGTTGCGCATCTGGTAAAGTCCGGCGATTTTGCCATGACCTGGGAACTCAAACCTGAGGCCATGGAAAGCAACTATGCAAACGCACTGTCCTACGGTAATGCGAAGGAGGAGCTTCCTCCGGGAACCGACTACAACTTTGACGACGGTTCAGAAGAAGAGGCCAATGCATCTGGCATGGTTACTGATAACGACGAGATGAAATTTGAGGATGTTGTCTGAGAAGTGAACTTCTGTAGCATAAGCAAGGTCATGGCGTTCTTTTGGGGTTTCTAGGCACATGTAAAGGACGTTTGGAGTCATCTACTCTGGTATCACATAGCTAAGATCCACCGTCAGACTGGGTGGTGCAAGTGTGAATAAAATACATTAATCTCATAGTGTGGCATAAAGCTAATTTGCATAACTTAACATTATTCTAAGCAATATGTCAAGGAAAAGTGAAACGGCCACAAACTGCCACCCTCAATAGTAGGGAGAACCGAAGCTCTCACGTGACCGTGATACCGCCACAAGCTGACCATATCACGGACCTACCTTCCCCAGAATGAAACAAGAACACTTACCTGTCTCCGCAACTTCCCATCGACTAGTAGAAAGATAGAGTCTTGAGCATATGTGCACAACTGACTTTGGCCTTTCTGATACAGCTAGACCAACATGACAGAAGACCAAGAGTTGATGGCTAAGATCAGCCAGCTAGCTGGTGAGCTTCCTCATTACTACCAGCTCATTTCTCTACCGCCAGCTGATTCATTCTAGGCCAGATCAACAGGCACAAAAACCAAACACCTCAGGCACAGGCAGATCCTGGTAGCGAGCTTCATGCTAGTCCGTACGTGTCACGGCACACCCGCGCGCGTGCGGGATGGGCGCCGTATCGCGGACGACCATATGGACGCGGACGTCCTGCAGCTCCCCATCGCCACCGTACTCTCGTCCTCAATAACGCGAACTCAGGGAACTCAGCCGGTTCCACGCCCGGACCAACAAACGAGAATGTTGGCGAAGTGCGATCGGCGACGCCGAACGGCTGGGTTGCGAAACGCGACCGTCATATGCAGCTGATCAACTCTGCTATTTACGATAAGGAAGCACAGGCCAGAGCGAAGGCGATGGAGCAGACGCGCAAGGCCAAAGCCGAGAAAAAGGCACGGATTGAGCAGGCCAAAGTTCTCCGTTACGCGCAGGGCTTTGGCAGACCTCATCATGCTACTTCCGTCGCCCCTCAGGTTTCTGCCACCAGCCAACCCCAGGGTGAATATCAGGTCTATCTGAATGATATTCCTTTCAAAATTGCAAAAGGCGGCAGTAAACTGGTTCGCGTATCTGGTGGGAATTCCTTCTGTGCTGCCGCGGTCAGAAGAACTGGCTTACCTTTAGTAGACGACCCGAATACTGCCAACGTCACGCCAAAGAAAGTAACAGTTGCTGGTGTAACTTTCGTCAGGAGCAAGAACGGAAACCTTCATCGACTCGGAGCGGTGACCTCGAAAAGGTGATGTTTGCGATATCTTTTCAAGAGTCGTTCAGAACTCACATTGATCACAGAAAACCGACGGCAGTCAAGAAGAGAAACGAGCTCTGCAAACGATTTACTTCGACGGGTACCAACACTTCCCCAGCCAGGCTTCCGCCCCTTCTTTTATTGATCTTCCGCAATCTTATCTTCTCTCACTTGTTCACGGTCTATTCATTACTATTTGAGCTGTCAGGGCTGATCCGATCTCTCTACATTTAGGTGCCTGTTACAAAGGACCATCATGTCTCTTCATTCATGATCCGAACAAAGTCGCCATTTGCAAGGAATTTCTGCAGACTGGTAACTGCGCCGCTGGTCAAAATTGCGACTTATCCCATGAACCATCACCCCACAGGTCCCCTGTTTGTGTGCATTTTCTGAGAAACCGGTGCTCGAATCCAGATTGTCGATACTCCCATGTGCGAGTGACACCTGGCGCACCCGTATGCAGAGATTTTGCAAACCTAGGATACTGTGACAAGGGCGCTGAATGTGAGGAACGACATGTTCACGAATGCCCAGATTATGCCGCCACCGGCGTCTGCAACAAGAAACGCTGTCGCCTGCCCCATGTCGACCGGGCTGGCCAAATTCGAAAGAATGCCGCGACTAAAGCAGATGCCGTGGACGAGGAAGAGTCTGACGAGTCAAGCGAGGAAGAGGAGTATGACGCCATCGACTCGGATGACGTTGACTCTGACGACCTCGAGGATGAGCCTGAATACGTTGAAGGGGCTGACAATGGCGAGCAGGAGCTCTTCCAGCAACATGACTTCATCCGCTTCTAAACTGTACATGCTAACACTCTCTTGCACATATGCGCAAGCTTCGTAAATGAGGACTCGTTGATTCGCGCTGAGCGACTCCTAGTGGGAGTGAGTGATCCCATCTTATCGATCAACGTAATTGGTTGGACATTTGCGTTTCTCATTATGGCTCATGAAGGGTCTTGTTCAGCGGGCGGAAGACGATACCCCTTAGTACAGCTTCATGGTTTTTCACAGTTCAGGACGACGTTGACCGGCGGCCT